AATAGAATAGAATAGAATAGAATAGAATAGAATAGAATAGAATAGAATAGAATAGAATAAAGCCTGCCCCAGTTCTGACAGTCTCTAGGTGGAGAACAACAAGCCACAAAAATAAAATAAAATAAAATAAAAATACAATTAAAATAGCAAAATAATGAAACTTTCTATGCTACTTTCTAGAACCAGAGGTATGTTGGCACAGCACTGATTCAACCTAGCCGCAGAATGTCAGGAGGGCTCTGGATCTTGCAGCTCTGGAATATAAGTTCCATGGATTAGGGCTACCACTGACAAAGCCTTTTTTCTGGTCCACATCCCATGTACTTCTCATGATGGGGGCTATCAACAGGCCCCCTCTAGATGTACAGATGGGACTCAGTTCTGGCAATTGGAACCAATGTTATTAGACTAGGCCAGTTTCAAATATATGAAACCAAACCATTGTCAACTTTTGTGTCTTTGTTATGCTACCTGCACAGTGCAGGCTACTGAAAAGAGACCAGGCCAAACAAAGAGCCTGAAGTTCTGCAAGTGAAGCCGCATCATGCAAACTGAGTTGTACAATGCGTGCTTAACATTATATACATGACATGGAGACAATTGTACCTAAATGATGGACTGAAGGGTCTTTAGTATCAGAGCTGCAAAAAGCTTCAGTAGCAGGGGTGTAAAAATAACCCTGGGACCTTTCAAAAATTCTGCCACTTGGAACCAAGATGACTAGAGTAGGAAGATCGAACTCAGTTTCAGAAGTCCCATTAGTGACATCGGTTTAACTTGTAAATCTCTTTTAGTATTTCCAACTGTAGGATTCTTTTTCTTTGCTAATTTTCTTTATCCTTCCACACATATTCTTGGATACACGGATGCATAAATTTATGTAGATTAGCACATAGATACAGGAAGGAATTTAGTCCTTCATTATGATGCTGGCACACATCCCCAAATTTATCAGATATGCGCATATAAACATGCCAGCAAATGTCCTAAGCAGATTTTTAGAATCATCGTTTTGAAAAATCAAAGTGAGGAGGAGGCAGCACAATTTTGTGTGAATATACTGTGTTTGTGAATATCTCTTTTTGGATAAGGACCTTGTGAAAGCTTCCATAGAATATCTTCTTCACTTCCTGATGATCAAAGGTGACTTCTTCTATATCAGCTTCATAGTCACGATGGAAATACATCAAGGTTTTCTTAATAGCTACAGTGGAAAAAAAGACAAATAAACTGGAGGGTTTTAAAGAATTCTGTATAGTGTCCTTCCTCAGCCTAATTTGTTAGGTTGATCTCACCATCATTAAGAACACGTACAGAGTGTAAAACAAGGGCACAAGACTGCTTTACAGAACTTTTACAGTGCAACCATCTTTTGCCACTGGCCATGCTGGATGGATGACAACAGCTGAAATCCAATCTGTTGCTGAGTCTTGGCAGAAGAAACAAAGAAACAAAATATAGCAAAACATAATTGTGAGAAATGAAAAATCCCAGCGAGTGTGACATCTCACATAATGGTCCATAGGAATCATATCTGCATGTGTGAACATGTCACAAATATGTACACCATCCATTCTGTACACTTTCTGGTTTGGCAGTCCCAGGCAGGAATACCACTGCCAAATGGAGATGAACTAAGTTCCACTTTATGTGGTGTGCAGTTGGCATTCATTTTGATAGGACCCATGGTATGCTGAGTGGATACATGGTAGGCAGCTATGCATGAAAAAGCTATGCACACAAGCCATCCCAGATCAATGTGTATTTGCATCTTACGGCTTTTGATGGGACTTTGGTGTGTCAGATTTCACTAGGGCGTTAGTCCCAAGTGAAGGCAGAATCAATGCTTCAAGTAAGGAAAAAAGTGTATCATCAGCCTTAGTGGCAGAGTGCTTTGGATACAGATGGTCCCAACTCCAGCCTTCAGCTTAAAAAGGAATTGATAGAAAAACCTTCTCCAGCTACAGCTCTGAAGAACGTCTCAAAATGAGACACCAGAGAACTGCTGATGGATTAAAACTAAGAATAAAACCCAATTAAAGTACAACACAGAATCAGGTTCTTCAAACAGCAGTGCTAAAAAGAATTAAGGAAAACCAAACCAACTGCCTTCATCAAATCAGGATCAGATTGATAATTTTGAAGAGGACATTCCACTACTGTGAGGTCTTAAGGGCTTCATTTGTAGGAGCAACTGAATCCCCTCCTGGAAGTTTATATCCCTACTTACGATCAAGAATGATGCTGAGAAGAGGTTGGAAATCCTCATCTGTTATCTGCAAGATGGCAAAGGCCTCCCGGGGACTTTCTGGCAGAAGGCGGATCAGGAAGGTGATGGTGTATTCAGCTGGAACTCCAAAAGGAAATACCTCACTGGGAAAACAACACAGAGATCCCTATATGAAATATGTTAAGGTGAAGATAGTAAGGTCATCACAGGGTTATAAAAAGTACAGGACCATCAATTTTATATATAAAATCATAGAGGTGGAAATGACTCCAGAGGTAATTTAGTCCAACCTCCTGCTCGGTGCAAGATGCAGTAGAACATCTCTGACAGAGGACCATCAAGCCTCCATTTGAAGTCCTCCAATGAAGAGGAACTTACCATTGTCTCCTATTACCTCTATAGGCAATTGTTAGTATTTAGATAGAAGGCCATTAGGTTGCTTCAATCCAATTCTGTATAATGGTCTTCTATCCAATGGTCTTCTACATGGTTGTTGGTTCTTATGGAAAGGTCAAATAAAACCATTATGGTCCCTCACATCCATAATGTCAGGGAAATGGGAGGAATGCAATCATCAGGAGTTGAGGTCAACCTGAGGGCATATTTACTTTTTAGATTGAAATCAAAGTTTGAACGAGTTGCAAGAGGCCTTTGAGTCCAACTCCTTGCTCAGTGCATAAATTCAAATTGAAGCATCCCAGGCAGGGGAGCCCCACCGCCTCTATGGGCAATGGATGGGAGAGTATCAAGAACTCCTTGGTTGTTGGCTAGTCCCAGAAATTGGGGGGAAAAAAACATGCTGGAAGAAGGCCACGGCACTTCACTTCCATAATGCTGCCAAGAAACAACATAGATGTGGTCATCAGGAGTCAAGCTCAATTTGATGGCATCTTTATCTTTTTAAAAGGAATCATAATATGACTTCCTCTTGAGGTCATTAGGTACAACCCCCTGTTCAATGCAGAAATGCAAATTAAATGATCCAAGGCAGGTGGCTGTCCACCATTTGCTTGAACACATCTGTGATGGAGCCTACCACCTCTCTGGGTCATTGGTTCCATTGTCAAATTGAGCTTATGGTTAGGAACTTCAGTTTTTAGCACAGTGGCAACTGATATTTCCTTTCTGGTTTCTCACTTCCACATATACACTTTGGGGTCTGCAACCTTAGCTTTCTTGCTAGTTGGAAATTACAAAACTGGGCTGGATATCCAAATAAGGTGGCTAAGGAAAAGGGAGCCTGCTATCTAGAACTTTCATAATACAGTTGTTGCTAGTTTTTACTTAATATAAATTTACTGGTGTCAGTAAGAATGAAAACTAGCATATAATCAGAAGTTCACCTCAAATGCTACTTGAATAGGAAGAAATGCAATAAATATCTTCTTTGATGTTTTTAATAATTGATCTGAATGTATAGTAATGCATACTAATTTAAATTTTGCTCCTGTATGCTAGCTGGCATGGAAAATAATATATTTGAAAGTATACGACAGCTGGTGCATTTGATAGCTGGTGCAGTCTTGTGGTTAAGAAACAGAGCTATCAAACAATCCCTTGATAGAATTTCACCCTTTCCATCCACATAGCAATTTTAGTCAAGTCATTCTGATGAATTTAGGTATGTAAGGATAATGATAGTGGCCTATGTTGCAAGGGTTCTAAAAGAGAACATGTGAAGTGAGCTGATGCAAATGTAAAGGGTTAAAGAAGTGAGCTTCTGGCAGGTTGAAAAAAAATCATGAAATGCCAAAACAACACTCAAATGAAAATGTCAAAGGCAAATTCCATGTCTGAAATACCACATTGAAAATTGGTATGATAACATAAAAGTGGCTTATCTTAATTGCAGTGACCTTTCTGTTTGGATATGGGTCACAATGCACTAGCATTGAAGAAATGGCTTATGTAGCTTTTAGGTTCACTCCTCAACCTGGCATCATCCAGTTGGGTGGTGCTGACTAAACCTCTCAGAATTCCAAGCCACATTGACCTTTGAACATTAGGAGCAGTAGTCCCAATCCCATTGAGCTGGCTTACACCATACTCCATTCATGGTGACCACCTAATGCAGATACATTGTTGGACTCCAGGATCTGAAGCTTATCTAGTCTACCACATCCTTTGTAAGCCCTGTCAATTGGAGGAGACAGAGAGCTTGAATGAGGATTTAATCCTCAGAGCTCTTGCCCATCCTTAGGCGTTAAACAACCATGAATATTACGGATGCTTGAGGATTCAGTTTTGAAAAACTTCAGTAGAACTGAACTAACCTGTACATCTAAGACATGGGTGAAATTAAGGCATTAGTTCTCTACAACTTTGGCATTGAGTACTTTGGTACTTTTATGCATTATTATTGCTTTCAATGACATGTTTATCTTATCCAGAGGCATTGATCTGAAGGAGTGATGGATCCTGATAGAAATGAAGCTGGTGAGAGAGGAACCTGAGAGAACTGCTATATAAACAGATCCAGCTGACATCTTCAACCAGGAAGAGATTGGCCAAAGATCTGTTGACTCATAAATGTAGGAGGAAAAAACTGAGGAGCTGAACCATGGAGCATAGACCTATATAAAGGCTTTTATTGCCATCTCCAGGAGACCAGTCCTCCATCAAAACTGGCTTCATTCTTGTCTGGAGTAAAATGTCTACTCTAGCTGAATTGTGTCCAAACGTTTAGTGCTGAGTAAGTCAATTCCAGAATCAAGAATCAAGAGTTGAGAGTCTGGGGGAAAAAAAGAACCACTAGATTTACAGTTGTTGGGCTGAAGCACGACAAGTCTCTTGTTTGATTAATCCAACTTTCCCCTGAGCCATTGGACTACAACATCCATAATTCCTAACCAACATTTTTTCTGAAGGGTTAGGGTCAGTTTGGGAAAGGCCAGTTATTTTTTGATCAAACAAACCCACATATTACTGCCTTGGCCTCACCATCGTACTGATTGCTCCTTTTTAATGCCCATATCATCACAAGCTAAAGAGGTGATATTCATGATTTTTTTCCTCTTTGGAATGATATTCAAATGCCCTTAAAACTTGGCCAGGGAATGTTTTCCTATTTGTTTGTTTTACATTTCCACACGTTCTGACTGTTAGAAGAAAATAATCTGTATCTCTGAACATTTTAACAAAGGGGCACTCTGGGGAATCTCACTATTCGATATGAAGAAGCTTGGCTTCTTTCAACAAGATTACAATTATCCCTATGTTTCAGCAATTAAACTTAAAAAGGAAGTTACAACTGCTTCACAATAAGCCAGCCTGTCTCAATTTGCTAAGTTGTTAGCTATAATAGAATCAAATGGCATACATGCTGAATTATTATGAAACTCGTATTACAAAGAGGACTGAGGACCTATTCAGCACACAAAGTCGTATTCCCAATTAGCGGAAATCTATCCATCTGCGATGCAACTTGGAGGAAAGCATATCCATTAAAAAGACAGGAATGAAGATGGATGCATGCATGCATGCAGGGATGCGTGAATGGATGACAGCTGCAACTTTGTGACTGAAGCCACACCCTCTTTTTACTGGCATGGGTTTTGTGCATTGTGTTAGTATGCTTTAGAGCTGGATCTGCAACTTGCTTGTACCCATGGGCTGCCTTTAAAAAAAAAAATGGTTTATTTTTTTCAATGGCATTTTTCTGTTGTTGTTGTTCTGGCAGCATGGTGGATGAAATGGGACCTTAATCTTGCAAATTCTTAGGCATCTGTTTCTCCTTTTCGCTCTCAAAGGGAAGAATCTGACTAAATTGGGGGACTTTGGGAGATTTTAAGGGATCAAATTGGTGCCTTAAGCCTCTGGAAGACTCAAGGTAGCCATGGTGCCCTTTTGAAACACCCCAGGATCCTCCCCAAAACAAAAAAGGGCTAGCAATTGTAATCCCACCCATGCCAGGGATGCTCTGAAGGCAACCAACAATGTTCTGTGGGCCACCTGTAGTCCATTGGCTATGGGTTGGTCACCTCTGTCCATGGCAAAGCAATGGATCTCCAACTGTAACTTCCAAAAAGCAAGGTCTTGTTAAAATTTAAGTGTCTCATTAGAAAATTATACCCAGCAGATCATTGCTGGCATTGCCTCTCTTTGGATGCTTAACAGTGGCATTTGCAGGATCTCACTGCTTCCATCAGAATGGCAAAAGTGGCATTGGGCTCCAAGCTCCATCACTTTGGTTCATGCCTGCAACATCATGACCCACCCACATAGAGAAAAGGGGTGGGGGTGCAAGGCTGTTTTTGTCCATTGGATTATGTTTGCTCCTCTGGCAGGTGCTGCTGGTCTCGATGGTGCAGGGAACAGAGGTCATGAATACACCTACTAAATGCCTGCAGTCCCCCTAACCTGACCATCTCTAAAAATGTTTGCTGGATGTTTAATGTGATGGAAATGGAAAATGGCAAAATGCATGAGAAGTAAGAAAGCATATTGGCATGCCTCAGGCCTCTAGATTTCTTATCATTCCAGAGAATTCTGTAAGCAAGTGGAGGAATTTTCCCCAAGGAGAGTTAAGAAACAAAAATGTCTTCTGATGAACGTTGGTTGAACTTTAGAATACAGGTAGTCCCCAGTTTAAGAACGAGTTCTGTTCCTTAAGTTGAATTTGAATGTAAGCTGGAACAATATGATTGTATAATGCTGTATAAGTAGTATTGTGTAATGAACTTGAACCATTGTGTATTTAATTTGAATTTGCTGCAATGGACTCTGTTCTTAACTATGTATCTTCTGTAACCCAGGCATTCATAACCTGGGGACTATCTGTAATCCATCTGAGGGTTGTTAAGTGTCCATATTGCCCACCCATGAACTTTGCTTCATGTTGCAGAAGACTTGAAATGAGGATTGCTCAGGTCCTATTTGATATCCTTGTAGCCTAAAGTCGTAGCTTTATCATCATCATCCAACTTGGAGAAACCCTTGGAATAACCTCTATCTCCCCACCCTTAAAGAAGCCTGAGACTATAAAATCAGGCAAGGGCTCTGGCTCCTTCAAAGCAGATGGAGATGGTCACTATATGGATTGTAGCTGCTTAACGAAACTTTGAATGGTTCTGGAGTGTTGGTGAGAAGACATCCTCTATATACCCCTTCTATATACCCCAGTAGAAGAACTCCACATCCTTCTATCGTCCTAATACAACAGAGAGACTGTTAGGCAACAGGACTCATTTGGAGCTATCCAAGGTCTTGTCCCTTACTGTGCTTTGCTTGACCTTCTGCTGTCCTCACTTTCATTGTGGGTATGTTGGGCCAACACAGCCTGTTGGGTTAATGAATGGTTCTGTGAATTCTGTAAACTCCTCACCCCCAATGGGCTAATTTGATAAGCACATTAAACATGTGGTAATGCAACCACATAGTATAATGCTTATGGAAAGGTCAGCAATTTATAGTCATGCTTCCTTATCTATTTTCTCATGTTACCTTGTTTTCCGGGTTAGTTGAATATCTCTGTAGACGGTATAGGTGTGAGTTCCCAAGAAGATGTACGGTTCCATAGCAACCCCCTTGATGGAGGCATACTCCTTTTCCATCAACCCAAATGCCTCCATCATGTCAAAACCTGTGAAAAGTAGACCATACCAATGATGCAAACATTGTAAGTGCAACTGGGGGAGTGAGATTTTAGGGGGTTGTACCCATTTTCATAGGATGAAGCAGAAATCTAATGATTCATCTGATAACCACTTAAAGGGCCATTGACAAAGAATGCACTTGATCATTCAACTGGATTTCTCTGACTCTATAGATGACAAGCAAAATGTCTCATCTGCAATAGAAGTAGCATTTCTCAAGAGAAGAAAGAATAAGATTGAACTCAGAGTTTAACTGTGGGTCCACAGAACATCCTACACCTTAGCAAAATGTATCAGGAGATTGTGTGAGTCAGCCATAAAGTTTCTTACAATTAAATTGCATCAGATCACATACTGTAATGAAGAAGAAAATGTAAAGGTTGGTTGCCCTTCTGCCCCATTTTTATACACCATCTGCCTCCTTCTCTTTTTAAATTGCTAAGCCAGATTGACTTGAACACTTTGGTGAATGCATATTCTTCCAAGAAAAAAAGGAAAATGCATCTCTAAGCCAGTGGAACATCTTCTCTAACACATGACTCACTTTCTAAAGCCTTCAATACAAACAGACTTTACAATCAACAAATCCTCCTCCCATTTCATCTTCTCCTTTGTTTGCCTATCTGAATTTATGGAAAAGCTGAAGCTGGGGCTGGGGAAGAAGGAAGGAACAATAGCAAAGTAGGCATGTTTAAAAATGTTTCAATCAATATTCTTCATCTGCCAGATTTATCTCTGCATCATCTCTATAGCTTTGTTTCTGATGATTATCCTGAAGACTAAATATATCAAAAGAGGAATATCCTATTTCTGAAGAATTTAAATGCTGGCTGGATTCAATTTAGTAGAAGTCACCAGCCATGAAATCTCCTCATCTCAATTTAATTTGAGCCAAATTATAATAATAGTATGCAAAAATAAGTGAGGCTCCGTACATGAAAAATTTGGCTGGTGTCAAGAAGGGTTTAAAAGGGGTGCAATTGTTGCAACAGGCAATTCTGCTTCTGGAAGACTTTGTGTGTATGTTTTTTTCCTTTCCACTCAAAGGGAAAAGGAAAAAAAAGATAAAGGCATATTCACCAGTATAATGTTTCTTTGGATTTCCTGGCAGGTTGACATGCTCAATCAGAGGTCAGGGCAGTGACTGCTCCAAGTTTTTTTTAACCAGATATTTTGGTGCAATCAAAGAGTTTTAAGGAGTGAAAACAATTCCTCGAAGCATCTTCAGAGTCCTGCTGGAAGCTCCAATTATCTGTGACATTTTTGTAAAAAAATATAACCACTTCTCCTTGTGAAGAAGTTTATGACATAGAATCAACTGCAAGTGGACAAAGCTAATTGAGAGCGAGGATAGCAGTTCTGGAATAGGCTTTACTCTGACTCTGAAGCAGCTTTGTGGTCCTCATCTACATTGTCATGTTGCACAGTTTGATTGACAATGCTATCTTGTGGCTGTGCCAGGAAATAGAAAGGATTCTCAGGCATATTTCTCAGATAATTCCTGTTTATGGGAAATTCAGGTGGTGAGCATCAAAACTGAGCAACGCAGAAACGAAAAGAACATACATTCATGTTCAGAGGAAGCCCAAAGTCTGCAGGAATGGAAAAAATAAAATCATAGCCCTCTCCTATTTATTTGGGGGTATGGGGATCCCCCAAAATCTCCCCTCGTTGCTTTTCAAAATATTTGAAACATAAACAGGTGGGCACATACATATAAGAGGAAGAATGGTCAGCCTATAATTGCTAGTCCATGTCAAATATATGAAACTGAACAGGTTTTTGGCAGAATTTGGAGTTCTTTTGGAAGATCCTTGTTTTTCCATATCCAATTCCATGATCAATATCTATACAGATATTGTGGTGGTACTGCTCCTTGTCTCTTCTAACAGCTCTCTGAAATTCTCTGTTAAGTTCCTTCTAGAGATCTTTGTTTTTTCTGGCTTTTGCTTCTCTTCTCTTCTTGGCAATTTCTACCATTTGTTCTGACATCCAGTTTGCTTTCTTGTCTTTTTTGATCTTTGGCAACCTCTTTTCACATTCATCCTTGCAACTTCTTTGATTTAATAATGTATTTCCTCTGGTTCCTGATGTTCTCCTTGAAAATGGGGGTTGGCTTTCTTCCTTTTTAGTTTAACTTGGAACTTGCACATGAGTAGTTCATGATCTGTCCACTGTTAGACCCCAGCCATATCTTGCTGTTATAACTGAGTTCTTCTATCTCCTTGCACTAACTATATAGTCAGTTTGATTTCTGTGTGCTCCAACTAGTGTTGACCATCTCTACTGGTGTCATTCTGGTTGTTTGAAGAATGAGTTAGCAATGAGGACATCACTGAATTGTTAGAAACTGATAACACATTCTTCTGCTTCATTTCTGTTAGCTAGGCCATGTAATTCAACTATATTTTCCTCCTTATTGTTTCCATCTTTGGCATTCCAGTCTCCAACCACAAGTGGCACATCTTGCTGGTATGGTCTATCGATTTCAGATTGAACTTGACCATAAACTTTATCAACCTCTCTTCTCCTGCATCAGTGATTGGAGCATAAATTTGGATAACCATCATATTAAAGGGTTGTCCATTAATTTTAATTGATATTATTGAGTCATTGATTGCATTGTAGCCAAGTACTGCCTTTGCTATATCCATCCTGACTAGAAAAGCAATATGTCTCCTTTTTTTGTGTTCGGAGCAGTATGATATTCTGACTGACAGGCTCCAATTCCAGTCCATTTCAGTTAGTTGATACCTAAGATGTTGATGCATGCTTCTTCATCTGATCTTTCGCTATGCTGAGCTTTCCCAGGTTCATGCTTCTATGTTCCATGTTCCCACTGAAATTCTGCTTGGCAGCTTCTGTTTTTCTTTTCCTACATGGCAACCAGATGTGTGGAAGGCTTTAATCTAATTGTATCATAAATACCATTAATATTCCAAAACATCCTCAGCTGTACCTCACTCGCATGTTTGAGTACCATCTGGCCTGAGGGGCCCATTATTCAGCACTATATTGTCAATCACTTGGTCTTGTCTATCCATGTGGTTTTCTTGATAAAGCACAGGAGTGGCTTACCATTGTCTTCTTCTGCGCAGTATGAAATGATGCTTTTGCCAACGTCACTAAAGTGATCTTCCATCTCCAGCATCTTCCTATATTGCTGTTTCTCTATATACGTGCCTGCTTGCTTTAGCTGGGCATCTGGGATGACCTTCATGCCTCAGGTGACTCTGCTAGAATTATATATAGTACTCTTGGCATAGACCCTATTGTTATTGCTCACCCCTCCGAGGAACACACACACACACACACACACACACCATGATGAGGCAGCATAGCAGGACTTTGGGGTGAGATACAAAAATTGCTTTGGATGTATTGAGCTTCCTCCAGTTCTAAAACATATAAAGCTTGCCAAATTCCCAACTAGTCTACTTATTCAGACACTCCATTAACTATGAATGCTCTCTTTGATGTTTAATGTCTATAGCATCTAGATCTTTGAGGGAGCAAACAGGAAGATGTTATTCTTCTTCATAATCCAAGAAGATGTTGTAAGACCTACCTTGTACGGAGCCATCCATAGAGTGAAGTGAAGGGCAGCCTGCAGAAAGATAGGGAATAGTGAAGGGGAAAGAGAGAGGAAAACAATCAACGAATGTTGGAAATTTGCAGAGAAGAGCGATCTGCAGTAAAAGAATATTTCACAAGGAACAAAGGGCCAGCCTGGCTTTAGAATTAGAGTGGTTCCCTATAACCTAGTATAAACCTCACTGTTTATGGCCAAACTGATGTAGCTTTTCTCAAGTAGAGACTACCCCCTTATATATGTATAGGAGAAAAATGCAATCTTCAGTGCTGATCAGGAGTCTCCAGAAAATAGGTCTTCCTTATATGTACAGTGACCCTACTTTCCTGGAAAAAAATAAAGGACAAAACTGAAAAAGGGGCAAATCTGAAAGAGGTTCATAAGGATAAAAAAAATTAATTGTTTATATTTATAACTTTGCTTTACAAAGGCAAATTCAAGAGCAAAAGCAAGAAAATCGTTACAAAAAAGCATTGTCTAATAGAAATATCTAAATTCAAACAGTACGTGTAAATTTATTTTAAAAAGACAATTCAATTTCCATATTTTTCACATGAATCTGGAAGACTGTGGATAAACTGGTACCATTTGTACGGTAAAAGTTAAATGGCTAAAAGTGCATTTTTGAAAAATAAATACATTTAAAGGACAGCTTTCTGAAATAAAGGTCTGTCCTTTATAATAAAGGATATATAGTCACTGTACTTATATGACCACTGAAGGATAACTGTTTTAACCTGCCAAAATGTTGAGTTTGTTTTATATAGCCTGACTTCTTAATTAATTAATGTGCGTATTTATTTTTTAACTGTTTGTGGGTTTTACTCTAATTGTGAGCCACCCAGAGTCTCCCACTGGGGGAGATGGGTGGCATACAAATTTAATGAATGAATGAATGAATGAATGAATGAATGAATGAATGAATGAATGAATGAATGAAATTCTTCATTTCAGCAACCCTGGGGGCCTCTCAAGGCCCTGGAAATTTCCAGTTTGAACTTCAAGAAGACCAGCAGGACTTACTTCAAGTACAGAAGATAATCTATGTGCAAGAATGCCAGAGTTTTAAAAAGTAGACTATTGTGGTGTCTGTACATGGAGTTAAGTGCTCCTTGTTGGCTGGTTTAACTAAACATTGTAGAAGTCCTGTTGTATTCAGTATCAAATAATTGTGTTGGTCCATTCACATGTTTAGATCATTTTTTACACATATATATCTATCCCTACTTACCTCTTCCTCAAATTTTATTTGCCTCCAAAGTGGTGTTTCTCAACCTCAGCAACTTTAAGATGTGTGGACTTCAACTCCCAGAATGCCCCACCCAGCATGTTGAGGAAAAGAAAAGGAGAGGTCTAACCTTTGCTATTTTGTTTCTATTACTTCCTTCATCATACACGTTCCTCATACCACCTTCTTTGTTTGTCCACATATTCTGGTTTTTGGGGGGGGGGGGACCAAATTACAGCTGCCACGGCAAATGTTATATGTTTGCTTAGTTTCTTGGCTGTTCATTTCTCATTTCTAATTGCCTCTGCGTTTATTAGATTCCCCACTGCAGAATACAGCTTCCACCATGAAGCCAAGTCATTGTTTACCCACAAAGAAATTCCAGCCACCACAAAGACTCCATGAGTAATTGTTCTGGCATATTCTATTAATTATAGTGGCGAAGAGGAAAAAGCACTTCCCCTTTGTCCTTTTTAATGCCTGTTCTGTCAAATCCATTGTGGAAAGTAAAGTGAGTGGTTTAGCGTAAAAACACAACCATTTCAACCCCTCCCTCTGATGGGACCCTCCCCCTTTCATTGTTTTACACATTCTTTGAGGGACCGAATACCTGGGAAAAGTCATTGGTACCAACCAGACATTAAAAAGGAAGAATTAAAGGCGCTTTGGTGAATAGCTCTCATTTGAATAGGCTGAACCCAAAAAGTTGCCTTCAGAAACCAAAGCCTTGTGTTTAATTGCTGCTCTATCAGCCCCAGCCTAACATAAAATTGATGTTTTATGTGTTTATGTTTATATATATTTATGTTTTTAATGTTCGGTGTGAGTCGCCCAGAGTTCCCCCATTGGGGGGAGATGGGTGGGTGAGAAATTCAATAAATAAATAAGTAAATAAATAAATAATAATAACACAACAACAGAGCTATGCCCAAAGGCGAGAAAATGTGGTATTTTATTTGAAAGTCAGAGACACCCCTGGCAAAAAGCAAAGATGCTCAAGAGGTTGTCTTAGCTTGTAAAATCCACTTTGAGCATCTGCTTCAAGCCTATTATCATTGCTGTTGTTTTACAAGAGTATTTAATTTCTTTCAATCTATCAGTGAACATAGAATCATAGAATTGGGAGGTATCTCAGAGGTCATTTAGTCCAACTCCTTGTTCAATGCATGGCCCATTAGAGCATCTCTGACAGGTCACCTTCCCTAACTTCTAGTTTGAGGTCTCCACCAGGGAAGGAGAATGCAATGAAGACTTCCCATGAATGAGACGGAATAGCTTCCTGAGGCAGTCTGTTCCACTGGCTGACAGTTTCTACAGGGAGCGTGCAATGATGATCCTTGTAGTCCATTGCAATGTCACCATTCTATGGTTCTCTCTCCAAAACATCATCATTTACATCCTGACCAAGGCAAGAGAGAGCAGGACTTGATGTAATTGGCTTAAATCGCAGGATGGTAGGTTTTAAAACAAATTTTAACAAGATTTGTAACTTAGCTTGAGATATGATTCAAGGTTTTGCACCATATAGAGAAGAGAAAACTGATGGGATATGCTGGATCCCACAATATCTCTAAGGGGCTCTCATTCCAAGGCTTCGTAGCTTTCCTCTCTTCACTATAGACAGGCATAATTTATTATCTGTCGATAAAGTTTTAGAATGTTTTGAAAGAGCGTGGTATCCTGAAGTGTACAGGGGGTTGGACTTACTAACCTCTTAGGGCCTTTCCAACTGTAAGATTCTATGATTCAAAGAGGATATTATTCAAAGAGAGGGAGGAAAATAAAAATCTGGGTAAAAAGGGCTGAGAGCATTAGACTCCCCTTGTTTCTGCAGAAAAAATGAAGTGTCCAAACTCTCAGAAGAGTACCTTGAGAGTTATGATCAACTCAGGAGAAGACTACAGGTAGCCCCTGGGTTAAGAATGCCCAGTTTACAGATGTTCCATGGTTAAGAACGGAGCTTAATGTAGCAAAATTTGAGTTAAGTACACAATGGTTCGAGTTCATTACACAATACTACTTATACAGTATTATAAAATAATACTGT